AAACACTTCAGCTTTTTCTATGAGGTAAACAAACACTTCAGCTGTTTTTATGGAGGTAAACAAACACTCCAGCTTTTTTTATTGAGGTAAACAAACACTTCAGCTGTTTCTATGGAGGTAAACAAACACTTTAGCTGTTTCTATGAGGTAAACAAACACTTCAGCTTTTTATGGAGGTAAACAAACACTTCAGCTGTTTTTATGGAGGTAAACAAACACTTCAGCTGTATTTATGGATGTAAACAAACACTTCAGCTTATTCTATGAGGTAAACAAACACTTCATCTGTTTCTATGAGGTAAACAAACACTTCAGCTGTTTTTATGGAGGTAAACAAACACTTCAGCTTTTTTATGGAGGTAAACAAACACTTCAGCTGTATTTATGCAGGAAAACAAACACTTCAGCTGTTTTTATGGAGGTAAACAAATACTTCATCTCTTCTTATGGAGTTAAACAAACACCAACTGTTTTTATGGAGGTAATTAAACACTTCATCTGTTCTTTTGGAGGTAAACAAACACTTCAGCTGTTTTTATGGAGGTAAACAAATACTTCATCTCTTATGGAGGTAAACAAACAGCAGCTGTTTTTATGGAGGTAAACAAACATGCTAGTTTTTGGTCGAGCAGGTTCTCGAGATGCTGTTTGTCAGCAGCCAAGGACATGAACGCCGTCCTGTCTGCGATACAGAGCAGAGAAACTGCCACAATAAGAACATTAAATTGATATAAAAGTTTTTTAAAAAGAACAGAACTGGGTCCAGGGTCTGAGTGGAGCATCTTCTGACGGAGAGGATCTTTCCATTTAATTTCTGACACGAGTGTCGTTTGAAAACGTTTGATTGTTTTATGAACATTCTTATTTCATCTTGAACTTTTATTCTGAAAAAACTCTGAACGGATTGCCTTGTGTTTCCTCTTCACAACTTCCCTCAGTCAGTTGGGGGTTTGTTTATTTGTTTGTTTGTTTATTCTGTTCCTGTCATGTCACCGCTGACAGGAAGTGATGTCGGTTTAACCCCATTTCCTCCAGCTGCTTGCAGACCATTTCATGCTTCTTTTTCCTGCATCCATCATTCCTTCCCCTTCTAACCATCAGCTTGCTAACTTCCTCCTCCTCCACCCCTTCATCTCACCTGTAGGGGGCACCTTGTCCCGGCACGCCTCCCTGCCCACCCAGCGCCAGCAGCTCCTGTCCAGAGCCCCCCTCTCTGCCAGCCTCAGCTCCGCCCCCCACACCGACGACTCCTACTGTCTGTATGCTCCGCCCACCCACGTGGTGCTGCCGCTGGCCAACGGCCTCACCACCTGCACAGGTACACCACACACTGAGGACACTCAGGTAAAGTCCAGGAAAGACTCGGGTCTTCAGGTGACCCAGAACGAAAACAAGGATTTGTTTTAATAAAATAAAACGCTCGGATCAATTTTCTGTTTTTAGGATGTGAAGCTAAAATCTGATTTAAACTCGTTAAAAAACAAAAACCAGAATCTGGAACCTCCTCAGCTCCACCAGAACCAGGTCCGTCTGTCTACGAGCCACCTGTCTCAGTCTGGGTGTTCCTTCGAGAACATCTGGGTCTTAGATTTCTTGTTCCTGGGGGGTGGGGTGTTCACAGCTGCAGGGGGACATTCAGACAAATTTAAATGTAAAACAAAAGTTTTTTCAGCTGCGTTCTGAACATCCTGACAATGAAACGCTGCTGCTCACAGAGCTCTTAGCACAACTCCAGACATTGGACCATCATCCCCGCTGGTCTGCACACCTGTTGCCCCCCCTTCCTCATCCTGACATGGACACCCCACCCCCCCCCACCCCTAGCAGACATCAGAAAGTTGCTTTCTGTTTGTTTGCAGCTGGAGACAGAAACAGCGTGGGGAGCACTGGCAGCGTGGGCAGCACCCGCAGTGCCGGCAGCGGCCAGAGCACCGAGAGCAACGGAGCTGCCAATGGACACCAACACAACGCTGGTCACCATGACAACAAGGTACAGCCAGAATTATGCTGTCTGACTCTGCTCAGGTGTGTTTGTAGTTAAAGGTGTGCCTCTGACTGCATTTGTTTTGTTGTTGTTTTTGCTCTACACTTCAACCTGTTGTTTTTCTTTTGCTGTTGTTTGTTTTGTTGTTGTTTTTGCTCTACACTTCAACCTGTTGATTTTGTTTGTGTGCAGCCAGCGCCACCTGCTGTTGATCCTGGCCTCTCAGCAGACCCAGACCATGCTGCAGGTTGGTCCGGTCTCCTTCAGTGAGTAAAACAACGTGTTTGTTTCTCTGAGCTCAGGGTGTGCTCCTTCCTCCAGGAGGGACTCCTCGGAGGCAGACCGTGACGGTTCAGCGTCCTGCAGAGCCGAGCTTCACGCAACAGTTTGTTCGTCCGCAGCAGCTGCTGGAGGGGAAGGTGATATTCAGACTTATTTGAAGCTGAGAGTCAGTTTCTGTCCAGAGAGAACTGTCTGAACGGACCAGGTCAGCCTTGTCTTGTGTTTGTCTCTCCTGCAGGATGCCGAGGCCATTTTTCAGTGGCTCAGTGAGTTCCAGCTGCCGCAGTACACTGGAAACTTTGTGAACGCCGGCTATGACGTGCCGACCATCAGCAGGATGACTCCTGAGGTGAGTCGGGTCCAGCTTGGACCGACCAGAACAAATCCTGAACTCTGAGCCAAGTTGAGGGCTATTACTGGGTTGGGTCCGGTTTCCCTGCTGGATTGTGGTTCTGACACCATCTCTCTGCAGGACCTGACAGCCATCGGAGTGACGAAACCAGGACACCGCAAGAAGGTTTTCATGGAAATCAACAACCTCAACATCCCTGAGTGGCTGCCAGACTACATCCCTGTAAGACTCTCTGATGCCTTCACTGACTTCTGGTACCTTTGAGTGTTTTCTGACTCATGTGTCCTTGCAGTCGGACCTCGGTGAGTGGCTCAGTGCCATCGGACTCCCTCAGTACCACAAAAAACTCTCTGAAAATGGCTACGACTCCATCAGCATTGTCAAAGACCTGACCTGGGAGGATCTGCTGGAGATTGGCATCACTAAGCTGGGTAAGGACCCGACCCGGGTCCAGCTGGTCCATTCTCAGAGGTTCTGGGCTCTGATGGATACATGTTCCCTTCAGGTCACCAGAAGAAGCTGATGTTGGCGGTGAAGAAGTTGTGTGACATCCAGAGGGTGATCCTTCAGGCGGATTCGGGTCAGGGCACCCTGCGGCATAAGGCTCCCGGAGGGCTTCGTCTGGTCACCATCGAGTCTTCGGATGCCAGCAGCGAATGTTCCTCACCTCACACCCCCATGATGGTGACCTTCCAGGACAGCGAGCTGAGCACCGAGCTGCAGACGGCCATGTCCAGCAGCTATGGAGGCTGCGAGGAAGGTTTGGCCATCAAGAACGCCGTGGGGATGTCTCGGAGCCAGGAGAGCATCAACTCACGGTCCCGAGGTTCCGTACGCTCCCAGGAACCACCTACTGTTTCCATCAACCCCCAAACCTGGTCCCAGGAGAACCTTGAGGGCAGTGTGGCCAAGGAGAGAAACCTCCCTGAGGGCTGGGACCAGAGACCACTGCAGCATCTGCCTCTGCCCAAACAGGTTCCTCTGGGAACCGCAACAGTGTTCAAGTACCCGACCATTCCGGCCAAGCCCAAACTGTCTGGACCTCATGGTTCCCCGGTGCTCAAAGGGTTCAACTACCAGCATTCTCCGTGTGGGTCCACAGGTCTGAGCTCCTCTCCCAGACCCAAGAACCACAACAGGACTCTGACACCGTCCCACAAGCGCACCCAGAACATGACCCGTTACGCTCTGTCGGACGGAGAACCCGACGAGGACGAGCTCATAGTTCCTCCTGGAAACATCCCATCCTACGCCACGCTGACCCGCAAGCCCGGCCGCAGCCACCTGGCCCGGTTACAGTTGAGCCCTGAGAAGACCGGCACCGTGGGGCGCAGCCAGTCCTTCGCAGTCCGCTCCCGTAAGAAAGGCCCTCCTCCCCCACCTCCAAAGAGACTGAGCTCGGTGAGCAGCACCACCAGTGGGGAGCTGAGTGACAGCAGCCCCACGTCGTCCTCCGGCGGTGTGGTGACCGACAGTCCGGGGAGCGTCAGGAGCATCGCCGCTTCTCTGGAGGGAGGCGCAGACCGGAGGATACCCCCAGGACCCACACATGCTGCGGTCCACCAGGAGGCACCATCCAAAATCCTCAGCTCCACAGAGACCAGGGAGCCTGTGGGGGCGAGGCGGAAGGTTCAGAGCGAATGTGTCTTCATCCAGACCAGCAGCAGCCAAGACCTGGACCAGGGTCTGAAGTCTGACTCTGAGGAGAAAGAATCAAAAGATCTGGGACTGAAGGACTCTTCATCCCCCCAGAACAGCTCCAGTGAGTGCATCCCCTTCGCCGAGGAGGGGAACCTGACCATCAAACAGAGACCCAAAGCCCCGGCTCCGCCCAGGGCCGAGGCCGTTCTGGAGCCTCCAGACAGACTGGCAGCCGGGACTCTGGAGGTCCCCGAGTTCAACCTGAAGGAATCGGACACGGTCAAACGGCGCCAGAAACCCAAAGACAAGGACCAGGGCTCTCCCAGCAGAGCAGGACCAGGAGCCACAGGGTTCGAGTCTGATGGCAGCAGGCCTCCATCCAGGAACCAGGACCAAACTAGTCTGGACAGGCCAGACAGTCCAGCTAGAGGGTCCCCGATTAAACATCCACTTACCCCAAAACCTGCTGTCACACCAAAACCGGTCCGCCAAAGTCTGCTGGCTGCACACAGTGAGTACGCTGCACGAGGGTCTGGTCCTGGTTGAGACCTGATGATCTCAGCTGGGTCTCATTCATTCAACCTTTAGTTCTACAGGTTCTACAGGTGAGCCTCATTTACAAGAGAGACCTGATTTAAATAAAGAATGATGACAACAATAGATGATCATAAAAAATCTTATAGAATGAAAAGTAAATAGAAGAAATTAAATAAAACTAAACAATAAAAGCTACATTATAATACAATGTATAAACAGGAACATGTCTGCTTTGGTTTTTCCCATGAACTTAGCAGATGTAGGAGGATAGGTGTGTACCCTATATTAAGGAGAGGTAAAAAATTACAGGATGTCTGGCTGTAGTCCAAAGCTGGTCTCTCCTGTGCAGGTCAGCCAGCTCAGGAGTAACCCAGGGGCTGTCGCGTCCTTTTATTCTGAACTGGTGAAAAGGAGTTTGTTTACAAAGTAGATGAATTTGAAACTTATTTTGAAAGTAGTTCCAAGCGGAGTTCACGTTATCAATGAGGAGAATATGTTGCCAGTCAAAATGGGACCAGTTCCAAAGGAAGACCTGGTCACTGAAACGCTTCATGTCCCTTTTTAGGATTAGTCTCATTGGAACTCATTGGTCTTCTCAGAACCTGGTGGTCCTGGTTGAGACCTTAGGTCTTAGATGGGACTCAATGGTCTGAAAGAACTTGGTGGTCTTGTTGCGTCTTCATGGTCTTGTTTTAGACCTGAATGGATTCATGTTGGTCTTAGACGTGTTCTGATATGTCTTGTCTCCAGCAGGACCGTCCTCCCCCACAGTGACCGTCAGCGTGGTCCAAAGTGTGGTCTTTACGTCCCCCTCCCACGGACCCCCAGGTCTGGCCCCTCAGACCCACCAAAGCCCCTCTTTGGCTGCAAAGAAACCTCAGGGCCGCTCTTTAGGTCCAGATCCTGTCCCTGAGTCTTGCAGTGAGACAAAGGTGGTCCAGCAGAGACTGGATGAGACCAGCACGTCTCTTGCAGCAGCGCTGAAAGCTGTGGAGAAGAACCTGAACCAGGAGGAAGGTTCTGACAGGTGAGTTCTGACTCGTTTAGCTTTGAACCTTTGGTCTGTTAATGGAGGAACTGAAGTTCTGAGAACCTGTCCCGTGTCCCACCAGGTCCAGGATCTCGGTGAGGTCTGCAGGGACCATCCTGGATGACATCGGGAACATGTTTGATGACCTCGCTGACCAGCTGGACGCCATGTTAGATTAAAGGGCCGGTGCCGGCCGCTCGTCGTCTTTCTGAGCAGCAGCTCTTCACCTCCAGAACCAGAACCGCAAGCCAGGTCTCACCTGAACATGGTTTTTGTCCAACCGAGTGACTCGCTGTGAGGAGAAACGCTCCGTCTTCCAGAACCGAGGTTCTGCTAGGACCGGTTCCAGCAGCCTGAAAACTGGTTTCCTGAAACACAAACGTTTTTTACACGACTTGAAATCTGCAGCTTCACGATCGATTCACTGATCAGGGACTCGTTGTCCACGCAGATCAAACAGATCGTAATTAAAACTAAATAAAGACTCAAATAAAAGAATCAAAGACTCAAATAAAAGAATCAAAGACTAAAACTAAATAATTAAATAGTCAAATTAAGAAATGGAGTAAAACAACTCATTTGGACTTTATTTAAATTAACCTGACTGCAGCTCCATCTAGTGGCCATCTGTGGAACCGCACCCAAGTCTGTACCCAGGATCCAGTTTCTCCATGATACAAATCGTTCCTGCAGCCCTCTGGACCTGGCTCACTTCTTTTTAGCACCTTGTTCTGGTTCTGGTCCACTTCAGCATTTCAATGTCTTTTCAAGGTAAAAGCACTGCGTCTGTTTCTCTCAACAGCTGAAAGAGACCAAAAGCGGCAAGAAAAAACTCGGAACAGACTTCAGGGAGGACTGATTTGGACCGGATCCGTTTACTGAAATGTTTGAGTTGTTTTTTAGATTTGGTTGAGCTGATGAAGGTTCTGTTAGACTGAATTATTTAATTTAGTGTTCTGATGGACGTCAGCAGCTGCTGTGATGTTTGAGACTGAAGGAACCTCAGAACCCAGAGCAGCGTCCCCGGAACATCATAGAGTAAATAAACACCTTCAGGTTCTCCAGATGTTCTAAAGGGATGAGCTCGTTCTAATCCCAGTTTGTGGTCTCTGCTGGGACAAAGTCCGGACACCGCGTATCTCCGAGTCCAAACATTTCATTTTGATCATATTTAAAGACTTTAGCTGATGTGAAGCAGGCGAAGTTCTGCTCGCTTCACGTTTGTTTCAAAGGGAAACCTCCTGACTCTTATTCAGCTGTTTGTATCCTCTTTAGTATTTAAATTAGGATTAACCTCAACTGTTTGTTTTCCATGAGATAAATATTCAACCACAGCTCTGTACACATTCTTCTTTAACTCATCTTTATTTTTATTATGAAATCTTTATACGTTCGTCTGGATTAATGTGTGTTAGTTTTGTGTTTATTCACAATAAAATGATGTTGGAGTGAAGTTTTTTTTTTATTATTGTGAAAGCAGTGGCAGGAAGTCATCGTTTTATGTTTTATGAATTCTACCTTAAAGAGTTTATATAAATAAACAGTTAATAAAATATTTACTTTTAAAACAGGTGTCGTTTCGTGTTTTGTCCTGCAGGGGGCGACATGTCCTGCTGGATCCAAAGAACTGCGGAGGAGAACAGGACGTTAATTTAAGCTCAGAGGACCAGGATCAAAACGGAAAATGTTAATTTAATGTTCCTGGGAAAGAGTGAGCTCCGAGCAGGCCCCAGGATGACCTCAGAATCCTCAGATTCACTTCAGTTGTTTAACAAAAAAAAAAAACATTGAATAATCTAAAGTGACAGTTCTGTTTGAGAAAAGAGACAAAACTTGAAATCAGATTGTACACATTTGAAGAATTGCAGTGATTGTTTTTATTTAATTTTCTTGGAAAGATGTCGAGATGTTTTATGTAGACCGGCAATCTTCCGATAACAGGCCCATTTTCAGTTTGACCACTTTTTCTTGTGAATGTGAAATGTTCCCAGGAGAAGTAGAAGTTGGGTGAAGTAGATCAAGTCCTTGTCCACATTTCCCACTTCAGCAAAGACCTTTACCTGTACAGCTCCAGGGACTTTAAAACAAAAAGGCAAAACCATCTCAGTTGTAGAAAAACCATGTGAATTTATCTATGCACCCTGTAAATATGTTGTTTTGTTCGTTTCTATACTTGAACACTATTTCCTTTGTACCTGTTAATGTAAAAACTTAATAATATATATATATTTAAAAGTAGCAGAGAACCAGCTCGTCCGGGACGGACCCCGTCCAACCGGAACCGCCGGATGACGCACTCGGCAGCTGCGATAAGTCACGTGACTTCAGGTCCAAGTCTCTCTCTTTCCCGGAACTTCTTTATTTTGAGTCACACCCATTTATGGTCTAAACTCTTTTGTTCTGGTTCTGGATCAGTCGGCCAGTCCGGACGCTGCAGAGAAGACACCGAGCTCCCAGTCCGAACCGAACCCAGAACCAAGGTGAGGAGCCGCAGAACTCCGCTCAGATTTCTGCAATTTTATCACTTCCGCGTTTCTCCGGAACAAAGTTTGCCTGAAAAGTCCAACTGGAGATGGTTTTTATTTTAAAACGAGCTACTCTTTAATTCGGCGTCATTTAATGAAGGGAACATGTTTCTGTTTTAAAAATGTTAACCTCAAAGTGTTTTGTATTCTACACTCAGGAAAATCTGCTCTAAAACCATTTATTGTTGTTAAAATAACTAAAAGTTTAATTTATCGGCAGTGAATGTGAAGCAGGTATTTATTTTCCATTAGTATTTAATGTTTATTTTCTGTAAAAATGCAGAATTTACTTTGTCATCGAAGTTTCCTGGAAGGCTGCTTCTGATTTTACTGCGTTCGCGCTTCTGCGCATGCGCATTTAGTGACGCCAATGGAAAGGCAAAGGGCCCACATTTTAATTTTTTTTTCTCGTTTTCATATATAATTATAGTTTTTGACATTAGGATTGCTTAGAACAAAAACTGAACTTGAAATGATTTGAAACTTTAAATCAAACTTGTTGGGCGTGGCGCGCTGGATGGATGATGGAAACGCTGAGCTGATCAGTCAGCTGATTGATCAACTGATCGATCTTGTTTATCGTTTGTGCGACACCGCGTACGCGTATGCGGTCGTAAAAAATTGAGCTTTGCACGGACATGCCGTGGGGGGTACCCTCGTACCTCCGCGTACGAACGTGCGTACCTCTGCGTATGGACGTACGCGGCAGTATACTGGGGGCTTTACTCAAACATAAATCTTTTTATATTGATTTTTTTTTTTTTCCGGGTGATTGAATCATTTTTCTGCTGACCTCAGGTCAGCCTTGTTGTTTTTGTGGGTGTGTCTCTGTGTGAACACCTGAGATTCACTTCCTGTTTTTTGTTTACTTTAAAAACTCAATTTAAATAAGTCTGTTTGTTCTTTGGCTCCGCCTTTTTGTTTTCCTGAGTTTAAACTTTGAGCAACTTTAAAGTAAAATAAACAAATATAAGGATTTATTTCAGAAAATACTTTTTCTTCCTGCTGGATTCTGTTTCTGTTGCCGTGGTGATAAACGGTTTCCCAGCATACACTGCCAGTGTGGCCAACCTGTCAGAACCGGTAGAACCGTGCGAACGCAGCAGGAACTTTGTTCTTTCAGAAACGTTTCACCTGCACGTTGTTACTCCTGGTTTTTCTCCTCCTGTCGTCTCCAGCGCCTCGCTGTCATCAAGTTGAAGACCGGTGGAACCCGAGAACCAGGCAAGATGCAGGTGGACGCGTCCATCATCCGGATCCCTCCTCACCACTACATCCACGTCCTGGACCAGAACACCAACATCGCCCGCGTGGAGATCGGACCGCTCACCTACATCCGTCAGGACAATGAGAGGTCCGCGAGCCTGAACTTTGTTCACCCGGAGGTTCTGCCCCTCTTTGGATCCGGAGTAACCTCAGGTCCGCTGGTCTCTCCTCAGGGTTCTGTTCGTGCCAGTCCGGATGATCATGGTGCCGCCTCGACATTACTGCGTGGTGTCCAACCCCGTCGCCCGGGACGACGACAGCCAGGTCCTGTTTGACCAATCGGGTCAGGCCAAGCTGCGGCACGCCGACCTGGAGATCCGTCTGACCCAGGACCCGTTCCCTCTGTACCCCGGAGAGGAGATCCGGCAGGTCTGTATGGATCCCTGTCTGGTTCTGTGAAACGGTCCGAATGGACTCTGGTGCTGATCCGTGTGTGTTTGCAGGATGTGACCCCGCTGCAGATCGTGTACCCGGACACGGCGCTGCGTCTGCAGGCGCTGCTGGACTTCGAGGACGAAGGAGGCGTGAAGAGAGTCGCCGGAGACGAGTGGCTCTTTGAAGGACCAGGTTAGTCCCACCTGGACTCAGTCAGACCCACATGTGGTTCTGTTGGACCACAGGAACCTTCTCCCAGTTCCTCTGCTTACAGGTGGTGCAGAGGTTTCCAGAAAAAACATTTTGATTTTGCTTGCAGACCAAAGAGATACTAAAGGCTCCAGGTTCTGGTTTCTGTGTTCTGGACTCTCTCGGTTCCTCACACAGAACCAGACTTCAAAGTTTCGGACTTTGAAATGAAAATAAAGTTTCTTTTGAAATGAAAATAAAGTTTCTAAACGATGAATCAGTAAACTCCTCCATGTTCAGCTGCGACTGTAAAACCAGCAGCAAAGTTCTGACCCGTTTAAACTCTGACTGATGTTTCTACTGCAGAGGTCCAAACAGAACCGGGTTTAACCCACTTCTAAATCCTGAGGGTCTGCAGGGCCATGGATGGATGGATGGATGGATGGATGGATGGATGGATGGGATAATAAATGAATGAATTTTTGATTGAATGTTTGATGAAGGATTGGATGGATTAATTAATGGATGGATGGATGAGGTAATGAATGAACAGATGGTTGGATGGCTGATGGCTGAATTGATTGGATGGATGGATGGATGGATGGATGGTTGAATAGATGAACGGTTGGATGAATGAATGATTGAATGAATTATTGAATGGATGGATGAATTAATGGATGATTGGATGAATGAGTGGTGCGTTTCAGGGAAAATGCCTGAATGTTGTTTGATGCAACAAGCTGAGAGGGTTCTTCTCTTGGGCTCGGTAAAACCTTCAGTTTTTTGGGTCTCAGATTCTGGAAACTGGTTCTGTTCAACATGTTTGAGACGCACCGTTTCTCCGGTTCCTCCTGCTGGTTTTAGGAACCTGCATTCCCAGGAAGGAGGTGGAAGTTCTGGAGACCATCAAGGCCACGGTGATCCACGAGAACCAAGCCATCAGACTGAGAGCTCGCAAGGAGGGCAAAGACCGTGGAGGCGTCCAGAGAGTCACAGGTAACGTGATTCAAACCTCTGTGGATCCGATCGGAGCCAGAACCTCCACATAACGACCTGCGTGTCCCTCAGGTGAGGAGTGGCTCGTCAGTAAGGTGGGAGCGTACCTGCCAGGTGCTCACGAAGAGGTCATCGACATCGTCAACGCTTTCATCCTGACTGACAAGGTGACTCCGCCCCTCACTGCTGTCGGCTGACACAAACACTTCCTGGTGACAGAATCCAGGTTCTGGTCCAGGTTTACAGAATTCTGCAGAAGTCTGGTTCCTTTCTTCTGAGCGTCGCCACAGCTGGAGTTTCTTCACTTTGTGACTGAATGAAATGATTCTTCACATTAAAGAGTCTGAGGAGTTTTAAAATTTAAAATTTCAGGACTTCAGTTTTTACTGTGAAATCATGTTGGAGCAGAACGTCGTCGTATCGTCGGCATAAAACGAGACGTGAAATCTCTTTGCGGTTTGTGCATCGAGGGGAAGTTGTTTCTGTCGTCCGAGTTTCCTGAGAAAGGAAATCTCCCCGTCAGCCACAGCGCGTCACACGACCCACAACTAAACGACCTGCAGGAAGCGTCGGTGGCGCTCAACAACTCCTGAAGGGTGAATTCAGCGAGACGTTTGTAGGCGAGCGAAAGCGCCCGAACTGTTAGAAGGAAAGATCGAATCTTTGTTTCAAACCAAACTTCACCGAGAAACGTTTCTGCCAAATCACTGTGATGCTGGAGAAGCTGAAACTGAGTTCACACGAGCTGAACAGGAGCTAAAGTGAGCAAAATGACAGCTACAAGCTCAAATTGGCTGAAGTGTGGCTAAAAGGAGCATAACGGACAAAACGGAGCTACAAATAAAAAGATTGAGGAACTCGGAAGATCTGCGTATTTCTATGGAAATTCTGTTGTAAAGAAAATTAATTAAAATATTTATTAATTATTAACATGAGTTAACACGTGTCGTCTGCAGTCATTAGCCGCCCGAGCCGAAGGTTCAGCTGTTTAAAAACGGGAGAATAATTTGATGTTTTATTAAAAGTGAACGGTTTAGTTGAAACTTTGACTTCAGATGAAGCTGACGTGATGAAGCGTGTGGAGATGTGCTGGTTCTGACGTCCTGGTTCTGTTTGCAGAAAGCGCTGCACGTGCGCGCCCTTCGGCCCTTTAAGGACGTAGGCGGACGCGAGCGGCGGACGGGCGAGGAGTGGCTCGTCACGCTGGCCGACAGGGAGGCGCACATCCCGTCGGTGGCCGAGGAGGTGGTGTGTGTGGTGGAGGTGACCACGCTGAGCAGCAGGCAGTACTGCGTCATCCTGGACCCGGTCGGAGCTGACGGGAAGCCTCAGCTGGGCCAGAAGAAGGTGGTGAAGGTGAGGAACCACTCGACCCATCAGAACCTCCTGAAAACCGCAGTTGTGTTGAAATTGCCCCTCAGGATGATGCTACCGCCGCCGTGCTTCACTGAGGAACATGGATGTGCTCCATGAACATGGACTCCAGGAATATTTAGAGCGGCCATATTGGTTTTAGTCTGTACTCTGCTCTGATTGGTCAGCTGATCAGGCTCCGCCCAGCTTTGTTTTACAAGTAAGTTTAGTAAACATCCCAAATCGAGGATTTAACGGGTGCTGTTCTGCTGTCCTCCTCCTCCTCTTCCTCCTCCTTCAGGGCGAGCGCTCGTTCTTCCTGCAGCCCGGTGAGCGCCTGGAGAATGGCATCCAGAACGTGTACGTGCTGTCGGAGGAGGAGGGTCTGGTGCTGCGAGCCGTGGAGGCGTTCAACGATGAAGAGGTGAGAAGGAAGAGGCGAGCGCACCTCCATTCTGTGGCTCCGCCTCCTCATCCTAGATGAAACCTGTTTGAGTGTTTACATGTCTGATTTAGTTTTTCGAAGGTTTGCTCTCATCATGGTGCTGCCACCATCGTGCTTCTCTCCATCTTTGTGGAGCGAAGCTTCCTGTTCTGGTGTCTTCTGAGCTCTTTGGACCTCTTTGTCCTGATGACTGATGGGTGGTGCTCACGACTCCAGGTCTTTCAGAACACCTGGACTTTGACTCGTTAACCCTCACCAACATAGATTTTATTCCAAGTTCTGGTCCAACAGAACTGAGCCTTTAGGTTCCTTTAGGCTGATGTTTGTTAGAACCACTTCAGTCTGCTGCAGGTGGTTCTCCTCACTGACCGCCTGCTCCTGTATAACCCGTCCGTCGGGCAGATTAAAAGACAGTCTGTGTGTTTAACGAAGGCCGGCTGCCCCGCCCTGAAGGTGTGTAAGGACAGGTATGAGGACTCGGGTGTGTCTCTGCTTCGTGGTTAAAGGTTGTTTATCTGCAGCTTATCGTGGCTTTCCTGTAAAGATTGATGCTTAGCTCACAGGATGGGTCAAACGTCACAGCCAGGTAAAGGTGTTTCAACACACCTGGTTCCAGTTGCACCACTAAAAACAACATAGACTCGTTGAGGCCGTCGCTTCAGTCGTCACTGTTTTTAACTTCCCGCTGTTTTTAAAACGTTTTAAATTTCCACAGTTTTAAATGACATCTCTGCCAGACGTAGATTTCCGTCCCCGCCCAGACGTAGATTTCTGTCTCTGTCCATCAGTTGTCTCTCTGCTGGAGGATTGATGGTGTCCTCTGAGGTCACGCACTCAAACTTCCATCATATGAGTTCAGATGTTCTCTTCCTGACAGGAAAGGAAGGCTCTTTATTTACGGGATCAAACCCCTCTGAGGTCACATGTCTGCGTGAGCCTGAAGACGGCCTAACAGACCGGTGTTTTGGACTGTGGGGAACCCAGGGAGTATTCACATAAAGACCCCAAGGGCTTGAAACCAGGACCTTCTTGGTGTGAAGCAACGGTGCTAACTACTGATTCGCCATTGTGCCTGAAACTTGTCCCGTTCCCTCTTGGTAGTTGGTACCATCAGAACCTTCTGTTGCTCACGGGTCAGAAACTTTTTGATTGGATTTACATTTTTCACACAAGACTGTTTTGAAGCTCAGCTTCTGGTTTGGTTCTGTTTGAAGAGTGTTGCCCCTCCCTCAACCCCTCTAAAAAGGAGGGAGTCTCCATGGCAACCAGTGACTCAGCAGATTCTGAGTCCATAAAACAAAGAATCTGAGATGGACTTTGTTTTTTTGGTAATTTGAGCTGCAGGATCAGTTTTACTCAAGAACATGAATCTGTTTGTATAAACTTCAGATGCTTGTTTGTTTTGTGGGCAGCACGGTGGCACAGTTGGTAGAGCTGCTGCCTCGCAGCGAGCAGGTTGCCTTGGTTCAAATCCTGCTCCAGGGGTCTTTCTGGGTGGAGTTTTCATGTTCTCTCCGTGCATGTGTAGGTTTTCTCCGGGTACTCCGGTTTCCTCCCACAGAGCAGAAACGTGCATGTTGGGCTGATTGGTAACTCTAAATTGTCCCAAGGTGAGAGAGTGAATCCTTGTTTGTCTTGTCTCGGTGTCCCTGTAATGGGCTGGAGACCTGTCCAGGGTGTCCCCCTACTCTCACACAGTGATAGCTGGATATGGGCAGCAGTGACCCCCACGACTCAAAAAGGAAGAAGTGGGTAAAGATGATGGATGGATTGATTTTGTTTTGGTGTTTGAGACTCTTGTTCTGCGTTGTTGTTACCGTTTCTGTTGTTATCACCAGTTTGAGGAGGAGGAGGAGGAGGAAGAGGAGCTGACCAGGGAGAGAGCGAAGCGCCCCAGGCATGGCGCCGTCCTCCGTCGTCCTGGAGACCGCTGGATGCTGCGGGGGCCCATTGAGTACGTTCCCCCCGCCAGCGTGGAGGTTGTTCTGAAGCAGCACGCCATCCCACTGGACGAGAACGAGGGGATCTACGTCCGGGACATCAAAACCGGAAAGGTGAGAGGGTTCTACATGAAGTGGTCCACAGACCAGCTCCAAAATCCAGAGATCAAGGTCTGAGTTTATGACTCCTTTCGGGTTCTGACCCCCCCCCCCCCCCCCAATGGCTCCAGGTGCGCGCTGTGATAGGACACACCTACATGCTGAACCAGGACGAGGAGCTGTGGGAGAAGGAGCTTCCTCCGAACGTGGAGACGCTGTTGACGTCCCGCCATGACCCGCTGGCCGACCGCTCGACCCGCCAGGGGGGCGGAGACGTCCAGCCCAGGAACAAGACCCGGGTCGTGACCTTCAGGGTCCCCCACAATGCCGCCGTGCAGGTCTACGACTACAGAGAGAAGAAGGCCAGGTGTGTGTGTGTGTGTGTGTCTCGTGTGTGTGTGTGTGTCTCGTGTGTGTGTGTGTGTGTCTCTCTCTCTCTCCCCCGCCCCTCCCCCCCCCAGCTGATGGTTCTGGTTCCGTCTGCAGGGTGGTGTTTGGACCTGAACTGGTGATGCTGGGACCGGACGAGCAGTTCACGGTTCTGTCTCTGTCCGGGGACAAACCGAAGCGGGCCAACGTGATCAAGGCCGTTTGTCTCCTGCTGGGACCAGACTTCTTCACTGACATCATCACCATCGAGACGGCCGACCACGCCCGGCTGCAGCTGCAGCTGGCCTACAACTGGTAATGGACCGGTTCTGGAGCCAGTGTTCCAACCCGTTTTTGAATCCGGTCCTTCGTCTCTGACTCCTCCTCTTCCTCTTCAGGCACTTTGACATGAAGTTCCCGGCCGAGCCGGCCGACGCTGCATCTTTGTTCTCGGTGCCGGACTTCGTGGGGGACGCCTGTAAGGCCATCGCCTCTCGGATCAGAGGCGCCGTCGCCTCGGTCCAGTTCGACGACTTCCACAAGGTCCGGATCTTACAACTCTGCTGTTCTGTTGGTCCCGTTCCAGCGCTGATCTCTGCTTCTGTGTCCAGAACTCCAACCGGATCATCTGCTCGTCCGTGTTCGGCTTCGATGAGAAGCTGGCGGTCCGGTCCAGTCTGCGGTTCAGTCAGAACCAGCTGGTGATCAGCAGCGTGGACATCCAATCTGTGGAACCCGTGGACCAGAGGACCAGAGATGCCCTGCAGAAGAGTGTCCAGCTCGCCATCGAGATCACCACCAACTCTCAGGAGGCCGCGGCCCGGTCCGAAACACGCTCCCCGTCCGAATGAGCCGGGTCGAGGCGGAGCGGACTCATGAGGTTCTGTTTGTCTCGCAGACACGAGGCGGAGCGTCTGGAGCAGGAGGCCCGGGGGAAGCTGGAGAGGCAGCGGATCACGGACCAGGCCGAGGCCGAGAGGGCCCGCAAGGAGCTGCTGGAGCTGGAGGCGCTCAGGTGGGTCCACCAGAACCGGGCCAGGACAGACAGGAAACATGAACTAGAAGAACCCAAATGTACCCATCGTACATTTCACCTTCATGAGGAAACCCGTTTCTGTGGGAGACGGTGTCTATTGGCAGAAAAGAACACCAAAAAGTTCTGGTTCTGGAGGGTCGGTTCTGTTGGACTTTAACTGAAACGGGTCACATGTTTCATTAAGACCTGCCACTGATTTCAAGTCTTTTAAAATCCAGACTTATTTCTAGTGGTTCTTACTGTAAGCAGGTTCTGGACCAGGTACTGATTCTGTTTGGGTTTAAAACCAGCGAGGGTTTATTTTCATCCATAAAAACATTCGGGTTTTTTGTTTGTTTGTTTTTATTTTATAAATTTGTCGTTTAAACTTCAGGGACTCTTGACCCAGACTGCAGGTTTGTAGAACCCAGGTCTCAGTCCGGTTCTGTAAAAATCTGTCTTGTGTTTCAGCGCCTCGGTGGAAAGTACCGGAGCGGCCAAAGCTGAGGCCCTGTCTCAGGCCGAAGCGGCCCGGATTCGAGGCGAGGCGGCCGTCAACGAGGCCAAACTGAAGGCCGAGGCGCAGAGGATCGAGGCGGTACGTTCCACTTCCTGGTTTACGACTGTCCACTTCCTGGTTTACGACTGCCCACTTCCTGGTTTACGACTGTCCACTTCCTGGTTTACGACTGTCCACTTCCTGGTTTACGACTGTCGTTACTGCACGTGTGTTTCCACATTTTTATCTGAAGTTTAAATTTGATTTTATCACGAACAAAAAAGACAAATTTAAGCTGTTTGGATAAATTTGTCTTTTTAAGAATGTTTTATTACTGCAATGTTTATATCAGTGTGTCTGTCTGTCTACCTGCAGGAGGCGGAGCTACAGCGCCTGGCGAAGGCCCGTGAACAGGAGTTGAGCTACAAGAAGGAGCTGGACACCCTGGAGGTGCAGAAGCAGGAACATCTGGCTCAGATCGAGTCCGAGCGCTTCAAGCTGCAGATGGAGAGTCTCGGTACCGACACGCTGAAGGAGATCGCCCGGGCTGGACCAGAACTGCAGGTAGGACGGTGAAAGCCACACGTCACCCGGCCTTTAGCTGATGTTGCTGCAGACTGAGCCGTATCCTCCGTCCTCCAGCTGAAGATGCTGCAGGCACTGGGTCTGAAGTCAACCCTGATCACCGACGGCTCATCGCCTGTCAACCTGTTCACCACGGCCAACGGCCTGCTGGGGGCGCTGCCGGGTCAGAACCAGTGATGGGTCAGAACCAGGGAGGAGCCGCCAGCTTAAGGTGCCGTTCTTAATTCTTACTCCAGAACCTAAAGAACTTCTCAAATCAGAACCAGCCAGGTTTCTGCTCCATCTCAACCATATTCTGGGCGAACAGAACAGGCACCGAACATTTTAAGTGATAATTCATATATTTTAAAGTGATCTTTGTTGGTGCCGGTTCTGAGTCAGGTCCAGTTGGACAGTTCTGGTCATGGGTTTGGAGTTCTGAGCTGAAGTTGTTTCTGTGCCCGCCCCCCCAAACACACACTCTCAAACTGATCAGAACTCGACAGCATTGGGTCAAACAGAACCCAACTGGGTTCAAACCAGAGAACTCTGAACAGAACATCCAGAACCAGCTCAGGGATCAGCTGAGAAGACACCAGAACAACAGTTTGGGCCTGTTAGGATCTGTTCAGCACGTGTCAATAACCCGAATGACCCACTAGATTTGGTGGGGGTGGGGGGGGGGGGGGGTGTCAGACTTGAACCCTGAAACTCCAACCCATGACCAGAACTGAAACTGGTTCAGAACCAGAAGTCCAGTCAGGCCCATCACATGATGACGAACGTTAAGTGAATCGACTTTAATCAAACGTCTCTTCTGTTCCAGGTGAAAACTGGATTTTATTTTCTGTTCCACTGCAGACCAAGAACTGGGCCTCAGAACCATCGTTGCTGCTCCACAACCTGTGGGGAAAATAAATCTAGTTTCACAACAACGGAGTTTCTTTTTTTTTATCAAAACAACCAGAACGTTTCCTGACTGATCCTAAAACTGCAGCAATGATTTAATCAAGCGGACCTGGATCAGTTGGGTCCTGGTACTGGATCTGTTGGGTCCTGGTACTGGATTTATTATTTATTTAAATTTTCATGGTCCTAGAACAACAGGTAACGGTAAATGGACTGTACTTATACAGCTCCATTCTCTTATCAAGATACTCAAAGCTGTTTACAACAATCTGTGCCTCATCTACCCATTCATACATCACTCTACTAGATCTGTACAGGGAATAATCGGAGCTTTATCACATTCATTCACTGATGAGACGCACATCAGAGGCAATGAGGGGTTCATTGTCTTGCTCAGGGACACTTTGGCATGTGACAGCTGCTGGAATCAACCCCCAACTTCCAGGACATCCTTGTTGAAGAGATTGATGATCTCAATAGATTTCTTCCTGGTAAAATAAAATAATAGTTTTTTTTTTTTTTGTTTGTTTGTTTTTTCAGTGAAGGATGACTGCTTTAACCACTCAGCCACAGCTGCCTGACAGGTCGAGGTGAAGGTGTAGCTTCTATTTTTCAGTCAAGACTATTAATACTAAACCAATTAGTAGTTATAATACTTTTGAGTCACTGTCTCCAAGTCTGTCCCATCCTAAATGGAAAACAGAACAGCCACTCTCACTAGTTGTATATCATCCACCAGGCTCATATGCTCAGTTTTTGTCTGAATTCTTAACTGACTTACTACTAAATACTGATAGTCATAAAAATGGGTGATTTCAATATTCATGTAGATGTTGAAAGTGATAGCTCAAGCATAATTCAATTCAGTTTATTTACAAAGCACCAAATCAAAAAGTTGTCTCAGGGCACTACAGGAACATACACAAAAGCCAATTAGTGAAGTTCTCTAGCTAAGGAAGCAGCAGACTTGTTGAATCTTCACTTCATCGCAGTCTCCCATCCTGAGCAAGCACAATGGCAACAGTGGAAAGGAAAACTCCCTTTTAAAGGGAAGAAACCTCCAGCAGAACCAGGCTCAGGACAAGCGGCCATCTGCTTTGATCGGCTGGTTTGAGAGGACAGAAAAAAGGGACATGAGAGCATAGCCTTTAAATTTTTTTATAGTCAATTGGTTTTTACCCAAAACGTCCGAACACGTACTCGCGCTCATCATCACAACCTAGTTCTGACCTATGGCCTCGAGATTAAAAACGTATTTCCTCCAAATCCTGTTCCATCTGACCATTTTTTAATTATCTTTGAGTTTACATTGAATGACTACACAGTCACTGAGAGTACAGTAAATTTCACCTTAGCAGGTCTTCTTCTTTTGGCTTTTCCCTCTTCAGGGTTCTCCACAGCGAGTCATCCTCCATCTCTCTCTGTCCTCTGCATCCTCTGTCCTCACTCCAACTACCTCCATGTCCTCTAACTGCATCCATATATCTCCTCTGTCTTTTCTGGCAGCTGCATTTCTAACATCCTTTTACCAACTTAACCACTGTTCCTCCTCTGGACATGTCCAAACCACTGTCTCTCCTCTGGACGTGTCCAAACCATCTGTGTCCTCTCTAACTTCATCTCCCAGTTCATCCTGTGCTGTACCTCTGATGATCTCATTCCTAATATTATCCATCCTTGTCACTCCTAAGGAGAACCTCAACATCTTCATTTCTGCCACTTCCAGTTATGTCTCCTGTCTTTTTGTCCATGTCTCTGTCTCCAGACCATGTAACATAGCTGGTCTCACCACTGTCTTGTAAACTTTTGCTTTGACCTTTGCTGACACCCTTTTGTCACAAACCACTCCTGAAACTTTTCTCCATCCACTCCAGCCTGCCTGGACTCTTTTTCACCTCTTTACCACACTCCCCATTTTCCTGGACAGTGGACCCCAAGTCCTTGAAGTCCTGCACCTTTGTGACCTCTGCTCCTTGTAGCCTCACTGTTCCACCTCCCTCTCATTCACACACGTACTCTGTCTTACTACGGCTGACTTTCATTTCTCTTCTTTCAAGTACATACCTCCACATCTCCAAGTTCTCTTTCACCTGTTCTCTGTTCTCACCACAGATCACAATGTCATCTGCAAACATCATAGTCCACGGGGATTCCTATCTGACCTCATCTTTTAGTCGGTCCATCACCAGAGCAAACAAGAAAGGGCTAAGAGCCGATCCTTGATGCACTCCCACCTCCACCTTGAAGCTGACACTCCTACAGCACATCTCACCACTGTCCTGCTGTCCTCATACATGTCCTGTACCAGTCTAACATACATCTCTGCCACTCCAGATGTCCTCGTACAATACCACACCTCCTCTCTTGGCACCCTGTCATATGCTTTTTCTAAAGACACAATGGAGTTCTTTCTGACCCCCTCTGTATTTCTCCATCAGCATCCTCCAAGCAAAGATGGCGTCTGTGGTGCTCTTTCTTGGCATGAAGCCATACTTCTGCTCACAAGTCACCTCTTGTCTAAGTCTAGCTTCCACAACTCTCTCCCAGATCTTCATCATGTGGCTTATCAACTTAATTTCCCTATAGTTGCTTCAACGTTGCACATCACCCTTGCTCTTAAAAATGGCCACCAGCACACTTCTCCGTTCCTCAGGCATTTTCTCACCCTCAAATATGTCATTGAATATTTGAGTCAAAAACCTCACTACCATCTCTCCAAGACATTTCCAAACCTCCACTAGTATGTCATCAGGTTCTACTGCCTTCCCTTCTTCATTCTTTTCAGAGCTTTCTGGACTTCACCCTCACTAATCTTTCCCACTTCCTAGTCCACAGTTTCTATGACCTCTACTCTTTTTTTTTTTTCTCTCTCTTTCATTCTCTTGATTCATTAGCTCCTCAAAATACTCCTTCCATATGCCCGTCACACTCTCCTCACTTGTTACCATTCCTATATTTAACAAGCCTAACCTGCTGCACATACTTTCCAGCCTGATCCCTCTGTCTCGTCAATCGGTACAAGTCTTTCTCTTTAGTGTCCAGCCTCCCATACAACTCATACACTGTCTGCTTTGTCTTAGCTACCTCCCTCTTTGCTCTACGTCCCATCTCCTTATATTCCTGTATCCTCTCTTCAATCCTCTCACTGTCATATTTCTTCTTGGCTAACTTCTTTCTTTGAACGACGTCCTGCACTTCACTATTCCACCACCAGGTTTCTTTATCATCCATTCTCTGTCCAGATGACACACCAAGTACCTTCCTACCTGTCTCTCTAATTACTGTTGCTGTAGTAGTCCAGTCATCTGGAAGCTCTTTCTTACCCAGAGCCTTTAATCAATCACTTTATTAATCCCAAAGGGAAATTTCAGTTCAGTACATCCCGTCAAGAAAAGAAAACAGACATGGGGAGACAGATGTCTGAAGCTGCAGCTGCAGAGAGCAGTGCCACCTTTTCATTAGATAAGGAAAGTGAAAACATGAGGAATGGAAGGAGGTATAAAAAAATCTCTCACACTGTGTCTTTGACGCACAGGACACAGTGTAAGGTAGCAAAAAACTATTACGACAGTTTCTCAGATCAGGACCTGGCGCCGCCCTGCGGACCCAAAGGACATTTTCTCAGGTCTGGACCTGGCGCTGCCTGGCAGGCCCACAGCACAGTTTGAGTATTTTAAAGAAACGTTCAGGAGGTCTTTTCCTCCTCTTGAACCACTGTGAGAAAATAAAATCCGGATTCAGAGCTTCACATTAAAAACACGTCAGATGTTTTCAGCTCTGAGATGTTTCTGCTGATTTGATCTTCATTGAATTCTGAATTTACTGAATCCATATTTGACAGTTTGTGACGAAAAACATCAAATAAAAAAGCAATTTAATGAAACTTCAGCAGACTAGATGATTTACCTTCATCCCTGCGTCTCCTTCTCTCCTCCTCCTCCGCCTTCCCCTCGAGTTTTTATCACCTGTACACATCTCATCTTTGCCCTCCCCCTCCCTTCTCCTCTTCATCCTCCTTCTCCCTCCTGCCCCCTCCTTCTCCTCCCCATCAGCAGCTTTTCTTAATAATTTACAAAGATCTCAAATTCTAATGGGTCTTAGCGAGACAACCAGAACATCTGCCCCGCCCCTCCCTGCCTCCATCTCAGGCCCTTACCAACAGTTGTCATGACAACCGCCTCCCTGGCCCTGGAGACGGGCCACTGGTCGTGTTCTGATCCGTTTTCATCTGCAGATTTCTTCATTCTTCTTTTAAACGTCTTGATTCTTTAACTCCTGATAACCGGATCAGAACCGAAGGGGACCGAAGGTCCAAACCTGGATGCTCTGCTCTCATTCGGCAGTCTGACGCCTCGTCATTTGTGTTTCCATAGAAACGTCGGGCCAAAGTTCACGTCAGAACCATCGTTTGAGTCAAAAGTCCAGAGCAGAACTTCAGGCCTGGAAATCTCTGAGGAAGAATCTTGAAGCAAACTGTCTGGTGTCTCTGATGGTCCCTGAACGCCCCGCAGGAGTCAAGAGCCCTGAGCCTCTGCGGGTCTTCAGCTCACATTTATTCTCCTCGTGACGAGCAGCAAACATCAACAAGCGTTTCTGAACGAACCGGACCGGTTCGTTTAAGGCATGCACAGGCAGAGAGTCTGTTTGAGTTGTGTGGGTTCATGCTCAGAAATACAGAAACAAGATTCAAGCAGAACGAGAAGTCCAACAGAACATTTGACCCTTCAGGGCTGCCGTATACAAAAACAGCGAAAGGTTTGACATAAAGTTTCAACTTAGGGTCCAGTCAAGATGGACCCGTCTGCTGAAGACCACCAGAACTCATACAACCTGGGAACACAGGCCTTGGACCTTAGACCTCGGACCTCCTCCTCCCTGTCCCAGCTTCGGGCACTGTCAGATTATTTTCTGTGTTTCGGCTGATAAATGAAGGCATTCTGTGATAAATACTGTAAACATGCAGATTAAACACAGACCCAAACAGAACCAATCGGTCCATTAGCTCTCCAGTATTTCAGCTGGGATCAGAACCAAAAATCAAACGTTTAAAATGTGTCGGAGCGCAGATGGAGCCGCGGGCAGAACCAAAGCATTGGGTCTTAGAGGCTGAAAGACTGACTGTGACGTTTGGTACCAGAAGTTCTGCTGGGCTATCTGGCTGGAACTGGACTCACACTGAGTTCTGAACAGAACCAGACTGGTCTTTTATGGAGGATTAACAGAACCATAAACAAGACAGACTCAGAATGAGCTGAGTCACTGGTTGCTATGGTGATTCCCGCTCTCTGTGGGTGGTGGGGGTAGGGCCACAGTCTCTGCCTTTGGACCCAGGAGCATTGGAAGGTTCTGACAGCACCACAGGTCCAGGTTGATTTTGACACATGGGACCTCCTGTGTAGAGTTCTGAATACAGCGACTCAGTGAAGGACCGGTCCAACTTCCTGTGACCCGTTTCAACACTGAATCCTGGTTCTGCTGCAGAGGTCCAATCAGGAATGGGTTTAACACCTGGTGCTCATCTATGAGGGACTTTAACAGTTTTAACAGCCTCTGTTTTCAGTGCTGGTTCTGACCCGACCCAGTGTTGTTCAGCTGGAATCTTCAGAGCTGATGTTAAATTATTGCTGAGGCCAAATAAAGCTCTGAATTTCTGATTAAAGCAGCCAGTGAAGGACCAGCAGCGGTTCTGACGGGCCTCACAGAGAACAGAATCGGTCCACTGACTGTCAGGTTGATTAGAAAACCCAACCGGGTCGAAAAGCGCTGAGTTAATGAAACACTAACCAGCTGAATTAATGAAGTCCTGATGATGAGTGGGACGAATGTGGATGTGTCCAGAACCTCAGGTCCAGTAAGAGGAGTCAGATTCATTAAATATGGCTGATTCTGATGGACCGACCCGGATCAGTTACAGCTGTGGTGAGTTCACTGATTGCCATAAAAGTGGGCTGTTTAGTGCAGAAAACAAAGAACGTCTGCAGACTGCATCCGTTTTTGTTGTCGTTTCAGTTTTTCTGATCTGGAAACAATAAAACTGAAACTTCATTTTTAAGGTTTTTTTACATTTTAACGTTTTAACATCTGGAGGGTTCCATTGATTTAACTTCCTGTTTGAGAAAACTGCAGCTGGTTTCTCTACAATCACAAATTCAAACTCATCTTTTCAGACAAATTAAATAAAAATGCTGACGTTACTTTAGCTGAAACAACAAATCTTTCTAACAAACGTTTGTCCTTCTCCTTCACAATAAAAGTTCTCGGTGGGGGGCGCTGACGGTGCCACAGCACCACCCCCATCTTCACATCAGCTCAGAACTGTTTTGGCTTTTTAGTTTTTTTGGCATCAGACATTAAAACACCGCTTGGTTCCGTTTCTGACCATCCCTAAAAGCTTAGAGTGATGATGAGAGTCTGTTTCCATGACGACGTTTGAGGAGAAGATGAGCTGCAACCACAGAGCAGCGCTGATCCATTCTTCTGTCGGGCTCGGTTCTGGTCGTGTCAGGTGGACCATGCAAAAATAAAGAAACAGGACAAAAATGCAGTTTTTCATCCAGTGAGGTGCTCCAGGCTCCACGGTGTTGTGTTGTGTTGTGAAGATGCTGTCTTTGTGCTGGTTCTACTGGTTCTGTTGTTCAGGACTTTAGGATCACTGGGAACACATAAAGGTTCAGCAGGTCTTCAACAAACACCAAACAGTTTCAGGAGAACCAGGTCAGTCATCTGATACTTACAGCCCCAGTTGAGGGCGATTGCCGTGGCGATGATGGCGATTCCCCCTAAAATGGAGACGACGGACAACACCATAGCGTTCCGACCCAAACGGCGCGCTCCGTCCACGTTGCCTTGCTGCAGACTGTTTCTGGACTGAACAGAAGAGAGGACAGAACCGTTTAGTGAACCCAGACACTTGTGGTCCAACTGGACCCTCTAGGCTCCGCCCTCAATAGAAGTTGGAGGTCGTACCATCACAGAGAAGGTCAGGGCCACAATGTTGATGGGGACCAGCGGGCAGAAGCAGGACAGGATGGCCAGGAACAGGTAGTCCCTCGGTTTGGACCCGTCCCCAGCGCCCTCTGTGATGGTGCTGGGCTGGCGGGTCAGCGAGGGCCTGGGCGAGCCCGCCGCCAACGAGCCGGACCGGCTGCCCAAGCGAGGCTGGCCGTTAACATGGCTGCCTGGCTTGGCGTGAAGCTTGGGCGACACAGAGGACGCTGTGGGAGACGTTTGGCCCACGGCGAGAGCGAAACCATTACCTGGAAGAGAAGCAAAGATGGTCAGTCCTGAACTGGACCTCTGCTCCGTGGGTGGACATGTTCTCTTCTTGTCTGGCAGGGTGTGGACTTCCAAGCTTCAAGCTCCATGAGAAGCTTTGTTACTACAACTGAAGCCTCCCGTAGATGTACCTCCCTCTCTGTGCTGTTGAGGAGAACCTCTACAAACATTTTGGAAACTCCCTGATGAACTCACCACCTGGTCTCCATCAGACAGAAAACAGTTTCTGGTTGAACAGTAGAAACCTGTTTCTTCATTTCCTGACAGCTGGCTGGGATTCTGTTTGGGCCAACAGAGCTCTTCTAGCTTCCGGTCCAACATGTAGCTAACATGTATGAAGTCCTGATGCTGCTCAGTAATCCAGGTAGTTAATCTGACCAGGTGGAGTCAGGACCTCTGGACGGATTCGTCTTGTTGAATCATTTCATCTTTTATCCAAAGGACTTCTTCAGTCTGAGGAGCTGCAACAAACTCAGTTTTATAAACAGCACCTTCTCATAGTGGATCAACCAGTTTGTTGTTGACATCCAGAACTAGCTGTTCACATGATCAAGGAGGACCATCAGCCTAACGATGGATCGTTAGTGCCCTGATGGCTGCTTGCTATTCACAGGGGGCTGAGTGATATTAGCAATAACAGCATTGTAAGAGGGGGACAGTTGAACATGGAGGCTCTGCCCCGTTTAATGATGGATGGTTTATTTTCACAAAAATGGCTTCCTTCACTCTTCTCCCAAACCATCGTTCCTCTCTATCAAGGATGTAAACATGGTCCAGCACAGATCATCAACATCAGGCCAGGACTCTGAGGTCTACACTCATCTGCAGGTCAGAGGTCACTCTTTCACAGATGAAGATGTTCACATCCTTGATAGAGAGGAACGATGGTTTGGGAGAGGATTGAAGGAAGCCATCTTTGTGAAGAGAACCATCATTAAACGGGGCGGAGCCTCCGTGTCCAACTGTCCCGCTCTTACAATGCTGTTATTGCTAGAATCACTCAGCTCTCTGTGAATAGCAAGCAGCCATCAGGGCACTAACGATCCATTTTTAGGCTGATGGTCCTCCTTGATCATGTGAACAACTAGTCCTGGATGTCAACAACAAACTGGTTGATCTACTATGAGAGGGTGATATTTATAAGACTGAGTTTGTTGCAGCTCCTCAGACTGAAGAAGTCCTTTGGATAAAAGATGAAACGATTCAACAAGAAGAATCCGTCCAGAGGACCTGACTCCACCTGGTTAGATAATAAATAATGACGTCAGCTCCAGCGCTAATAAATTTAGCATCACAAGTTTATCACATTTGATCTTTTAGACACATGTTGTTCTTATAAGGTCTAATGCAAATATAACTTTATAGTCATGTGATATAAAGTTTTAGCTGTGACACTTTGTGTTTAAGTCTTTCTGATGTACGTCATCGCCTCAGAATGCAGCGCCGGTTCAATAACAGTGATGCTCTTAGATGAACAATGTCATAAATATATATAATTATTCAGTAATTATGAGTTTTCACGTGTCACAAACAGCAACTTTTAGCTGAATAGAGAAATAAGGATGTTAAAGCCAACATGTGGATGTAGTGGGAGATTCTTTAAAGGTGTAAAGTATAGTCCTCGGACCCAAAGGTCACTTTGATGCTGGGAGACTATCTTCAGCTCTTCAGTTTGTTTCTAAAGTTCTGTTTGGTCCAATTCGTTGGTGTGTGGATGTTTCTGGTTAACGTTCTCAGACTCGGAACGGGAATAAGAACCTCTAACAGTTCTCACTCACAGATGAGACGTTCCTGCAGGTAGAGGACAGAGTTAAAGATGGACTCACTGGTCTCTGAGCTCTCACTGATCACAGTCAGGTGGTCCATCGACTTCTCCTCGTTCTGCTTGAGCTCTGTTGACGATGTTTCCTGCTCTGCATCAGCGGGTGGAGGAGTAGTGTCAGATTGGACGGCTTCTCCGTCTGGTTGCGTGCTGACTGGCTGGTCTGGTTGCTGGGGTTCCTCCATGATGCTGGACGGCGGGCCGGCGCTGGGACCGGTGGCAGTTGGACTGGTCAAACGAAGCTAACTGGTGATTGGAAGATGACGTCAGGTCTGGCTCTGCAGAGGATCACAGAAGAATCAGTTCATCTCTGCTGTAATCAGCTGTAGACTTGATGGATTATCAAGTCCAATAAGATGCTACTGATTCAACTCTTATGGTGAAAATGTCTTCAAGGACATTCTTCAAGGACGTCCTAATATTCCTCTGCACTGAGACTTCTTCCATCTCCAATAGATGAGCCTCTTAACAGTTATCAGCACAGCTCAGCTGTAACGAAGGAAAACATTTGAATTTGCCATTTGAATCAAGTTGAGCTGTGGTTCTGGACACCTGGAGGCGCCCTGCAGACGCTCTGACAGGTCCAACGGTTCAAAAGCTACAACACATTGGAAGCCGCACTGCAGAGCAGAGAAAAGGTTTAGTGACTCAGGCAAATCGTGATGTGAACAAACAATTTAAAACTAAAGGACAACAAAGAATATTACAGTTCACAGGAGGTTGACTGGCGTTAATCAGCCTCTGTAGGACCTGTGCACATGATGCTGTCCAGAGTTCATGACCAGAGGTGAGGAGCGTAGACCAACTAGTAAACAGAGAGCTTCTCTTTATACCTCACCACAAGCTCTTCACCACAACGGACTGGCTCAGAGTCCACAATACTGCAGAAGCTGCACCGATCCGTCTGGTGATCCCTTGTTTCATTCAGTAAAGGCTTGAGATATTTGAAGTCCTCCACTTGAGGCAGAACCTCAACCCCTGCCTCTGACTTCAGGTGTGATGGTTCCATGTGGTCTTAGCTTTGGAGTAGAAACTGAAAGAGCCAGATCCTGGATCCAGGCGGTCCAAATGAGTTTCCTCTGCAGGGTAGCTGGACTCTCCCTTAGAGATCAGGTGAGAAGTTCATTTATCAGGAGAGACTCAGACCGCTGCTCCTCCACATCCAGAGGAGACTGTTGAGGAGGTTCAGACATCTGGTGAGGATGCTCCCTGGACGCCTCCCTAGGGAGGTGCTCTGGACATGTCCTACTGGGAGGAGACCTTGGGGAAGACCCAGGACACGCTGGAGAGACTACGTCTCTCTGCTGGTCTGGGACACCTTAGAGTCCTCCCAGAAAACCTGGAAGAGGTGGCTGGACTTCCCTGATCCAGCTGCTGCCCCCGAGACCCGAGTCCAAAACCGGAGGACGGACGTCTCCAAATTATTAACTTTTGGAATTAACTTGATTGAAAATGGCTGCCACAGCTAATTATTCTCAGCAAACATCAAAATGTCAAAAACAAACAGTTTACTGATGTTTGGTGTGGTAGTAGCTGGTCATCATCCTCAACACGCCCTCTGAGCACTGACAGGTCCATTTTCCAACATGTGTTTAATTTCTGCTCTCAGAGGTGGCGGGCGACATGCACTTTAAATGTCTTTAACTTGTAAAAATAAAAATATAAAGGCAAGAAAATATGTTTAATTTATCCCGGACGTTTACATTTTTAGTTCTGAGTAAATGTCTGGATCGGCAACTGGTTCTGGTTTGGTTTTAGGCCCAGAACTGTTCGCTCAGAACCAGACGGCAGCAAAACAAGAACCTGAAGTGAGCTCAAACCTTCGTCGGCCCGTTCTTCAGCTGCACTGTTATTAAATCCTGTGTCTGAGTCAGGAGATTAAAAGAGCTGATGTGAAAGATTATTGCTGTTTTTCTGCTCGGCTGTCAGAAACTGACGTCTTCTTCAGGTCTCTGTTGCAGAAACTGAATCAGACGTCTGGACTTTCTGTAATCAGAGACAAAAAAACAACAAAAAAACTAAAAAGACAGCTGAAGAGCAGCCAGACTGGCTTCTGTGGAGACGACGTTTTGTTAGAATAGAAAGGCCTTTATTTCAGTGCACACATGAGCAATGAAATTAAAGGTGCCTCAACTGACAGTGTATTCATTTAAACAAATACAACAACAAACACATTCGTTAGAGACCTTTACGCACAGTCCTGAAAACAAACTGGTCAGAAGAATGCAGGTGAGGTAGTGGAAACAGACTGAACACATTCCATAAGTGACCAGACATGTTGCACTAGAAAATTGTGTTTAGGGAGTTTTGTGGACAGTCAGAGTCCGGCTGGCCCATGGGAAGAAGCCGAGTCAGTGCAGCTCTTAATGCTCCTGTAGCTTCTGCCAGAGGGCAACAGGCTGAGTGACCAGGATGGAGGTGGTCTTGGAGGATCCTCTTTGCTCTGGAGAGACGGGAGCTGGCGATATTATCGAGGGACGCAAGAGGACAGCCAATTAGGCTCTCAGCAGTCCTGATCACCCTCTGCAGCCTCTTCACGTTGGCGATGGTAGAGCCAGCGTACCACACTGTAACGCTGTTCCACCGTCCTTTTGTAGGCCACCTTGGCATTTTTAATCCTCAGGTCTGCTCTGGCCAAGTTGTACTTGGCCTGGTCATCCAACCTGAAGGCAGTATTATGGGCTTTCAGGAGCACCTGGACTTCAATGGTCATCCAGAGTTTCCGGTTTGGATAAATCCGGATGCTCTTGATGATCGCAACCTTGTCCATGCAGAACCTGATGTAGGATAGAGTGGACTCAGTGAAACCTCCACCTCCTGTTTGAATATGCTCCAGTCTGTGGTTGCAAAGCAGTCCTGCAGCTGGAGGAGAGCAGCTTCTGGCCAGGTTTGAACAGATTTTGTGATTGGCCTGATTTTCCTCCTGAGAGGACTATATGTAGGGATGAGGAGCAGAGGAAGATGGTCACACAGAGCTACGTACATGTGGGAGAGGGACTGCTCTGTAGGCATGCTTTGGGTTAGAGTAGACCTGGTCCAGTGTATTTGTCCCTCTGGTGGCACACTTTTTCCATTCATTCAACCTTTATTTATAAGGTTAATCCCATTGAGCCTCGGGGACTCATGTACAAGAGAGACCTAAATTTCACAAAGAGTGATGACAACAGTGGATAACGACAACAACAATAGACACTCATAAAAGATGCATACAAATTTAAAATGTTTATGCTAAAATAAAATGGTAACCAAAAGGACAATCAAAAGGAAAAGTAGCAAAAAAACAGCTAGATGTAAAATACTAAGAACAGGAACATGTCTGTGTTGGTTTTTGCCAGGAACTTAACAGATGTTTGAAGCCACTTAGAGAGGTCAAGTTCGAGAGCTTCAGATCTTTTTACAAGATACTCCAGGAAACAGGAGCGGAGTAGGAGAAGGTCCTTTTGCCTAGTTTAGTTCTCATTGAGGGGACACTGCATGTAATAATGTCCTGAGAGCGCACGCTGTAATTGCACTCACACAGAGACATGTAGGAGGAGATGTATGAAGGCAGCAGACCAAGAAGTGATTTAAAGATGAAAATGTACCAGTGGGAGAGTCTACTACATGAAGTTAATGATGACCAGTTAACCAGTGAATACAGGGTGCAGTGATGGGTACGGTAGTTACAGCCAGTTATGAATCTTAGTGCACCATGATAGACAGCATCCAACATCTGCAGGGTGCTTGTAGGAGCGTTCATGTAAATAATGTCACTGTAGTCAATGGAGGGAAGGAAAGTCACGGTTACAAGGTATTTCCTAGCATTCAGAGTTAGACAGGATCTATTTCTGAAAAAGAAACCCAGTTTAACTTTCAGTTTCCTTACCAAGTTTTCAACATGAGGCTAAGAGCGATGAGAATGGACCAAGATACCAAAATATTTATAGGAATCGACAAACTCAATAGGGACACCATTTGAGGAAAAAATCAGAGGAAGAACTGCTGGGACCGACTTCCTGTTTGAAAAAAGCATCCCTTTGATTTTGTCAGTGTTTAGGACAAGTTTGAGACTGCACTACACTGCACATATTGTGCACATTTAAGGAGGACAGTCTTTAGGCATACTTGGTTAAAATCCCCAGCAATGATTTGAACACCATCGGGGTGGACTTGCTGCAGTCTGTTGACCATGTTGTATGGATAATCAAGAGCTAGGCTAATGTTAGCGTCTGGTGGAATATAGATGGAGGTCGTGATTACTATTGTTAGCTCTCTAGACATATAAAATGTCTGCAAGCAACAGAGATTGCTTCAATATTTTGAGAGCAGTGGGTGTTTATTGCTATTTGTGCACCAGTCATATACCGGTACACAGTCCCCACCTCTGCTGCACCAG